TTGGTTTCCTGGAAACACACTCTACTGGTCTCCCTACTTCACGGCCACCGCCTCTCAGCTCCTTTACACCTCCTCGTCTCTCTACCCTCAGCTACGAGCACGCCCCATGGCTTGCTCAGACTTTTCTCTTCTTTCTACACTACTCCCTGGGTGACACCATCCAGTCCCACGATTTTAAATATGACCTACATCCTGATGACTCCAAAATTTACATCTATATCTCCGACTTCTCCAACTGCCTGCTCAGCATATGCATCTAGATGTCTACTGGGCACTTCAAACGTAATTAGACACCCATCGCCTACACTCCAGTGCTATTCTTCCTCTAGTCTTCTCCATCTCAGTAAATGGCAATTCCCTCATTCCAGTTTCTCAGGCCAAAGATCCCAGAGTTATTTGTCATTCCTCTCTTCTTCTCACATCCTTATTCTGAGTCCATCAATAAACCCCTGCTGGCTCTACCTCCAAAATATATCCAGAGCCTACTATTCCACCCATCTGCCCTGCTACGGCCGTCATCTCCTGCCTGAATGACACACTAGCCTGATTGCTTCCATTCTTGCTGCTCTGCAGCCCGTTCAACATGGCAGCCAGAGTAACCCTGCTGAAAAGGCAAGTCAGGCCATGTCACTCCTTTGCTCAAACCCTCTGTTGACCTCCCATTTCACTTAGAGTGAATGCCGAAGTCCTTACAGTGGCCCGCAAATCCTAAAACTTGGGCTCCCATTTTCTCTCTGACATCATCCCTACCACTCTCCCACACCCTCTCCTCCAGGTACAGTGGCCTTCTTGCTATTCCTCTGGTATGCCTGCCATGCAATGACCTCAGGACCTTTGCACTTGCTAATCGCTCTGCCAGGAATATTCTTTTTTTCAAACATCCATATTCCTGTGTTCCCTCACCCACTTCAGGCCCCTGCCTAACTGTCACCTCCTCAGAGAGGTATTTTTAACTACCTTCTGTAAAATCACATCATATTTCTCTCTAGTCCCTACCTAGACTCAAATGTCTTCACAGCACTTCATATCACAGAGTCATTTATTTGTTTATGGTCCATCTAAACCAAAATCTAAATCCCTTTAGGGCCAAGACTTTGTTGAGTTTACTGTTCAAGCCGGTGTCTAAAACAGTGTCTGGCACACAGTAGGAACAAGGAAATATTTGTTGAAGGAACCCTTGAAGCCTGAATAAGTCATTTTAAGACAATTCAAAGTTTACATATTGTCCCTAGTGATCAATATATTCATTGAATGTATTACTCCCACTCTAAGACATAATATAGAGCAAACTTTTAAATTTCAGAATAAGATCAAACACAGTGGCTCACGACTGTTATCACAGAGCTTTGGAAGGCCAGGAGTTCGAGACTAGCCTGGGCAACATAGTGAGATCCCATCTCTACAAAAAATAAAAAAAAATAAGCCAGATATAGTGGCACACACCTGTAGTCCTAGCTACACAGAAGGCTAAGAAGGGAGGATCACTTGAGCCCAGGAGTTCAAGGCTACAGTGAGCTGTGATCATGCCACTGCACTTCAGTCTGCGTGACAGAGCAAGACTCCATCTCTAAAAAAATAAAATAAAATTTCAGAATAAGACTAAAGTAAGGTCATCAGTGACAGATTTGTGGTCGGTTATAGGCATTCATGGAGACCTTCCTACCCACTAAAAATGACATCAAGCCAACCACCCATGCCCTTCCACAAGGTACTCTCAATACAACTATCACTGGTAGGCTCTTCTCTTCCACAATCATTCATGTGCTTTGAGTCCTAGATAGAATACTATTTGAGATGCAGAATAAAACTAATATATTACAGACACTGACTTTCTTGGATTTTTATCGACCATCTGGATTTTATTTAATGTTTTTCTTTATAATAAAAAGAACATGTTAAATGTATAAAGAAATGTGATTGATGTTTACCTCTTTAATTCATTATAAATCAAAACAAAATCTAAATCAGTATTTTAAGAAGTACTTATTTTTGACCTGAAGAAGATAATCATCTTACCAAGATGGCAAGACCAAAAAAGCTGATGTCCACACCCAGGAACAATAAGAGAATTGAGATCCAATTCATGTTTCTAGTTTGAAAGATTACCAATTAACTTATTAAGATTCTAAGAGTCAAACCTATAATTGAGCAATCATTATTTGCAGTTATTTATTTTTTTAAAAACAAACAAGGCAGAAGGCTAACAAAAAGAGAATGGAATAACATCCCACTCACTGAAATAAATACTCTTATGAAAACAGGCTAGTCATTATATTAATATAGCCCCTTTCAGGAAAATTAAACAGGCTATAAGCAAAACAGCAATAAACTAAAATTTTCTTTGTCAACATCTGCTCATAACAATCTCAAAGTGCCACGAAACTCTGAAGTGAGAGCTTCCAGTTATTTCCCAGTTTAGGAGATCATGTGCTGTAAGAAAATAGTCTATTTCAAGTTAATATCTTCAACAGAACCTAAGTCAGGGGGACAGAACGACTCTCAGACACAGCAAAAAGCCACGAATACTGGTAATGACGTTTCTAACTTGAGAAGACTAAATTCTGCTGGGACAAGTCAGGGTTGCACTAGGTTAGTAGATGATTCACTGCACAGTATGAATAGAGCTGAAGGGGTAGGAGCCTTATAATCAGGAACAGCTAGAACCTTCCCCAAAAAAGATATATGAGTAGAGGCACAAATATTTAGGAATGTCAGCCCAAAGAAACTTGCAGAACTTTGCAATTTTTTTAAAATTTTAATTGTATCCTATTACTCTTCATATAACAATAGCAGAAAATAACTTTAATATTGCTAATAGTGAACATTTATTAAGTACCTAGTGTGTGCTGGGCACTATATGTCAGGTTGTATCATAAAACCATTTAATAAATCTTATTTAAGAATGTAAGAACAACCTGTATATTACAAACTCATCTGCATAGCACTCAGCTGATCTTACCTCTCTGCAATGAGGCCAAGAACCAAAAAGAAAGCAAAAACAGACCTCGCCATAATCAGGTACTAGCCTTCCAGGACTCACATTTGAGAGAAGCCCCCTCTCAGAGGACATTATAGGAGAAACTGCACTTAACTTGGAACCAGAAAGATCAAGGTTGGGCAGACGTAAGGACTCAAAAGCACAACATCTAAGGAAGGTCATTTAGCTGTCCGCCTTATCTCATCATAACCTGGTGGTTTATCTGATAGCACAGGGTAATAATTCCTGAGGGTACATATCCTGGTGTGTTCACTGCGGTACCCTCAGTAGGGAACAGAGCTCTTAGAGCATTGTACGTGCTCGGTTTTCATTAATGAAGCTTATATTCTAAAAGGAGAAGAACAAGCAAAACACACTGGAAAAGATTTTCATCTACTGTTAACATTCAAATAAGGATTTGAGGGTTAAAAAGGGAGATCCTCAGCTGTCCAGAAAACGTGATTATTGAGAACTTACTGAATAACCGCTAAGAGCTGCAGGAAACTGAAGTTTCAGGAAATGTGCACTGTGCTATCCTCCCTGCTGGTGGGCCACGGCATCCTGGCCCATGCTGCCTCCGGAGGCTACAGGCAGGGTGGGAAATGGGATCTGTAGGACGAACAACCCACTGACGACAGCTCCCACAGAACTTTGTTCAGAACAGCAGCTCCCACCATAATGGAAATGTCTGTTAAACCCCTCGAAGGGGTATGTAGAACTGGGACAACTCTGAAAGGGTCCACAGAGTTAGCAATCACCACGCAGGTTTATGGAAGAGTGTAAAAGAATCAATCTCACTTTTAAATACATGTGTCTCTCACCACTTACATGTCTGTTCTTTCTTGGGGACTGCCTACAAGTTGAAGGCAGACAGGGAGGCAGAATTTAAAGTGCAGAGGGACCCTGATGTGGCACTGAGGATCAGCGATGAGTGTGCATGCTCCAACTTCACATAATTATTAAGTCACATAAAGTCAGTTCCTTCTTAAAAGGCACTGCTCTGGTTGCTAAGTAGCTGAGGTTCCGTATCATCTAGGATTAGAGCTAAAATGTGTCATGGAAGGGACTCTTTCCTCTCTCTTTTAAGTTGAAAGTAGCTTTTTATACATTGTGAAAGCGAACAGAAGTTCTGAATCGTGTTTAACATCCTTCTGTACAAAAACTTTCCGACAGAATCAATAAACTACTTTTTCACTGAATTTTGACTTTTGAGCTGACTCTAGGGCGCACACAACCTTCCAAAGTCGCTTTTTTGTATATCTATAAAGCCTCAAAGAGGCACCTCCAGGCAAGGCTGGGGCCAAATATGCACCACACCACCTGAGCACAGCACTGAATGAAGGAAAGCGGAATCTCTGGTGAAACTTCTCATTTCCTGTCTCTGCTGAGCGAGGCTGGACTCGCTCCTTCTCACACGGTTTAAGAAGAGCTGCAAACACAGCCATCTCCCTTGCAGGCTGGCCACAAGCTCAGAGGGCCTTCAAGGGCAGCCTCTGTGTTCTGCTCCCTTCTCCTCCCTTTGACCAGTGTCGTTCCTGTAAAGATAACGGTACCGAACGCCCTCCACTTCCTACAGTCCTCATTTATGTCACGGTTCCTCTTTCAAGAAAACATGGGGACAAAAGGCAAAGCAAAAGAACAGACGAAAGGCAAAATTACCAGCACCTCGTTTCATTCCTCCTCATCGTGACTACAGAAGAGCAGGATCAAATTCCCTTTGTCGTCCTACATACACACGCGCAGAGTAGGTCAAGGGTACCCTAAGACAACTTATTTTTTCCCGCCTCACGACAGCCTTAACGCAATCCTCTCACCACCTACAAATGCGAGGCTTTAGCATCCAGCTAAAGAGCTAAACCATCTCAAGCCAAGGTAGGAAAAGCCGAAGCGGTCCCAAAGCACAAGGCTGGGAGGCAGGGCAAGCCGAGCGCACCTCGATGTTCGCATTTACACAAAGAAATCGGCCGCACGATGAATGGGAGACGCCGGCTGGAGGCGGGGGCGCCCGCGCCGGCCTCCTTACCTGGGACATCTGCGGCCTCAGGTTGATCTCCTTCAGGTTGATGGAGTGCGCCCGGAGGTTGTTGAGCAGCTGGCAGAGCAGGACTCCATCGCGCAGGGTCTGCGCCAGGTCGAACACCTGCGCCGAGTCCCAGGTCACCCGGTGGTGGGCGGGCAGCACCTTGCAGTGGATGAGCCACTGCGCGCACTGCTTCCACGGCTCCATGCCCGACGGCTCCGGGACGCGGCC